ATTCATTTCAAGCCACTTAAACATTAAAGGCTATAAAATGCAGCACACATTTGGAACATCAACTGAAGAATTTGGAGCAGCAGAGAATTTAGTAATTGGCAAGATTAATAATATTTACAGCGCTGAGATGCAAATCTCCCTTCGCTGAGGCTCCATGAATAATTGAGTGCGAACAATCATTTTGAATAATTCATTCCTAAATATACTTTGGTGTGTTCTTCTTGTGTTTTTTTTTTATGACCACAGGGTAAACTGAGTTTTGTGACAGCAGCAATGTGTGGCGGTAATTACGCCAAGCGTCTGGGGCCCTTCTTAATTGAAGCAAAAAAAAGTTCCTTTGTGCCAGTGGTCTCCTTCAAAAAAATAAGACGGAGATGGAAAGCAGGGAAAGAGTAAACAATGCTTCACTCACTCATATCCCCATCACTGAGACTTCCTGCGCCGGTTCTCCCCGCCTGTGCTTCCCACTTATGACTAGAATATTGATGCTAATGGAATTAATTGCTTATACTGTTATTATTTTTTCTTTACCATGTGTTTCCTAACAGCTTGGTCTGCTGGGGGGAAGAGAGAGGCAGGAGGGGTAGGAACAGAGGGGCAAGCAGAGCAGAACTTGACTGAGTTGGGAAATTAAAAAAGAGAGCAATAAGTTGATGTGTGCACTGAGGCCTCCAGACCTCCAGGACCTACGAGGAATACCGTGCTCCTGATTAAACTCACAGCTATCATTAAAGCAGCGCCTGACTTGGTGCTTTTAATTGAGGGGCTTTAAACAGAGACTGTGACTGGACTGCAAAAACGCGGAGAGGAAAGAATGATGCTGAAGGCTCCCTCTCTGTACTTTTTTCCACCACAGGCCACTGCTGCTAATGATGGATCTTCCTGCTTTGAAGGCCGCTGCTGTTAAAGAGGTAACCCGATTATTAATAGCATTTTTTTTATTTCTTTGCAAGACAAATGCGTGAGAATTATGCACAAGTAAGTTGTTTTTATAAACATGCCTATATATAAATTATCCAAAAGGTTTTTTCATATAGAATACCATAGAATAGATAAATTCTGGTGTTTACAGCAGCAAAAATATTATAGAAAAAAAAATGGTCACATAAATGTGGACCTTAGAAAAATGTATAAGAATAAAATTATAGTGAAGAGTTAAAAGATAAACAATAAATACTGTACTGTAAAGTGTTTTTGTTTAAATCAAAAACATCAAAATATTATACTGCATTAGATCCATTAGGTACAGACCGATATATAATGTATATCTTTGGTGCTCATTTCTATTGCTTTGTTTCTATAATGACACTACAAGAAAACCCAAAGTTAGTCAGACAGTAAAGCTATTAATTATGATGAATGAAAATAGATTTTAATCCAAAAAGTTTACGTTATGCAAACAGTGTCTTGTGAAAGTTTTTGCCCCTTTTGACCTTTTGCCATATTTCATGCTTCAAACATAAAGAGATCACTTTGTTTTTTTGTAAAGAATCAGCACCTTTACTTTCAGTGCAGCAAACTCTCCAGAAATTCAGGGAGGATTTCTGAATGATCCAATGTTGACCTAAATGACTGATGTTAGATTGAATCCACCTGTGTGTAATCAAGCCTCTGTATAAATGCATCTGCTCTGTGATTGTCTCAGAGGTCTGTTAAAGAATAGAGGCATCATGGAGGTCAAGGAACTCACCAGGAAGGTCTGGGATACTGTTGTGGAGAGTTTAAAGTTAGATTTGGATGCAAACAGATTTCCCAAGCTTTAAACATCCCAGAGAGTAGGGCTGGCCAAATGAAGCCTCATAAAGCAATTTATTATTATTTTTTTTCTTTATTTAACCAGGAAAAGTCCCATTGAGATTAACAATCTCTTTTTTAAGGGAGTCCTGGCCAAGACAGCGGCAAAAGATTACATTACAAATTACATTACAGTTTACAATAACATAATTAGAAATTCATAAAACAGTTACAAACCATAGATCTCATTTCCAAACCTTTGAGCAATCATTTAAAACGTCCGATTGAAATCAAATCCTTCAACTTCCAGTCTTTCTGAAGATTGTTCCATGCTGTGGGGGCAGAGTACTGAAAAGCTGTCAATTAAGCCTTCCAGCCCAATGCTTTGCCTGAAGGTTCATTCATTGATGCTTCATTCATTGCTAACTATTGAGCAGCACATATACTATTACCAGTGACGTGCGGTGAGGTTCATAGCTGGTGAGGCACTGACGTCATCAGAATCAGATTTGCAAATAGATGCATAGATTGACAGCAGTTTACAGGTTATGTTTCACTTCTGCATCCTTACACATACAAACTGTAGCTCACAAAACACACATTTCCTTAAAAAACAAAACAAAATAAACGTTATTACTGTCTTACCTTTACTTATAAATGAATAGAAGTCCTCCTTATCTTCCTTCAGTTTTAAAAGTCTCTCTGTCTCAATGGAGATCACTGCCAGGGAAGAAAGCCTTCCTTGATCCGTCCTGTTCCTGCCTTATGTTTTCAGTCTCTTGAGCACCCCCTGCCATGAGGCAAGAGAACTGCCTGCCTCACCTCGAACTTGTTCTCTGCCGTTTATAATCGCTCATTACACGAAACACGTTACACAAACACAGTTGGTGACAAAAAGCTCTGTACATTATATACATAAGCCAAATTATTAGAAATAAGTTCACATATTACATTTGTTTAAACCATTTTATTGACGCCGTACAGCAACATGCTCTCTCCGCTTTGCAGCCAGCGCAGAGCCAGGGGTTGCGCAATCCAAGGTGAGGCAGAGCTCGCTGCTGCCTCACCGGCATCGCTTCCAAGCATTTGAATGGGAAAATAAGAAAATTCAGCGATTTTGAACAAATAAAAATCGAAATTGGTGAAGCTACGTGAAAAATGAATATTTTTTAGTACAAACCACCGGATGAATATAACAATTTAAATTACTTTATGATTATATATTTTCTTTCTTTCCATGATGGCTGGTGAGGCACTGCCTCACCTGCCTCCCCTGACCGCACGTCACTGACTATTACAGCCCTCATAATAATAAAAATCAGAAAACAGCAATGAGTACAATATTGTCAAATTAAAGTTTTTTGTTATACACATGAGTCATTACTTTTAAGTAGTGATGGTGAGATGAGGCTTCATGAGGCATTTGAACCGTTTGGCCAAATTGCTTCTACCCCACGATCCCCACAGTTCATGAAACTTCATGTGAACATGTCACCACCTACTAGGGTTGTCAAAAGTATCGATACTCAGAAAAGTATTGATACTGAAACGTTGTATCCGGATACAATACTCATTTTCAAAAGTATTGATACAGCCATCTAAAGTGCAGAATAGTGGAAAATGCACTTTCTGAACACTGTGTGACTGAATAAGTCTGTGCATTTTTCAGTTTCAGACTTTTTTTTTACAGGTGCAGCTGCTGAGAATTATATTTTATCAAGCTTGCTTAATATTGTGCACAGCATACAACCTCAAAATATTATTCTTATTCTTTTTTTTATTTCTTTCTTGTATTTTTTTAGTAATGAAAATATTTCTGTTGAATTTTAGAGTCTTTGTTTTTATTGTTGTGGTATCGAAAAAGGTATCGAGTATCGAATATTTTACTTAGTATCGGTATCGAGTTGAAAAGTTTAGTATTGTGATAACCCTACCACCTACTGGTGGAATGCAGAACTATCGTTAGTAATATCTGTGATTTATTTTTTTTATTTTTTTTGCAGTTGTTTTTCTTTCGCATTTAAGTTCCTTTAAAAAAGTTAATGATTGGTCTGTATAATGATAAAATCTTTTGTAAGTTTTTTGTGTAAAATGTCTTACTTTAAATGAAAAGTCATTTAAAAATCATTTAAGGTACACTGCTTTTCTGCCATTTTAGTGAAATAAGCTCAAGCAGACAGTAAGAGTGCAAAAAATTGGGAAATGATGAAAAAGTGTAATTTTATTCAAGCATGCATTTAATCATGCTTCTCTCTGAAAACAAAATCATGGCTACTTTTCCAATGTAGCTCAACAAAACCCAATCTTTTCTTTTCCACACATATGAATTTTTTCATGGCTTTCAGAAAAAGCAATATTTGATGTTTTACTTCCAAAGTTGTAGTTTTTAAAGCGTCTGGGGCCTGAAAGTTAATTTTACATTACATCTGACTCTTAGGTTCAGACTCCCCTTCAGCAAGGTGGTCAACAAACCACAAAAACACATTGGACGTAATTCTGCTCTCTTGTTTTTTTTTTTTTTGTTTTTTACCAATATTCATGTTATGATGCTATCACATTGTCTGCTCCAATTCCTCAACAACTTATAGTAATAAACTATCTCCAAACGTGTTCTCCATATGACATCAACACAGAGAGAGGAGTTTTTCAATTAAATTCAATTATATTTATTTATATAGTGCCAATTCACAACACGTCATCTCAAGGCACTTTACAATTCAACCATTTCATACAGTCAAATTAAATCAGCTCATTGATTCAAAGGCAATCCCTCACACTAAGCATGCTTGTAGTGACAGTGGAGAGAAAATTCCCATTTAAACAGGAAGAAACCTCCAGCAGAACAAGCTATTAATCAGATTGCTGCTGTAGAGTTACTAATTGTAGGATATTTGTGTTAAAAATAAGCCTGTTTTATTCCTAATAACTCAGAACCACTTGGTATGTCCTGCTGCATGATTTTAATACAAAATTACATGAAATCAATATCAACATTTTAATTAATCATTTTATAAGTGTGATTTAACATTTAATGAAAAATTCAACTATCTAGTCGTGCAATTTACAATTTTGTTGGGATCCTTAGGCCTGCCCACCAGAGGGCGCCGAGGATCCTCTTCTGTTTTATGTTGTTTTCTGTTAGGACTGGGGTTACTGTTGGGACCTGGAGATCTACCATCTGTCTCCAGCAGAGGGCGCTGTGGGTCTCCTGGGCTGGAGCCTCCAGCACACCTGAAGCTCATCAGCCCATCAGGAGACCTTCCTTCATAAGCAGCAGTCAGACCTTCCTTCGCCGCCGGAGTGTTGACCAAGTTTGGTTAGCAAACCTAAGCCTCTGCACATCTAGTGAATCACAGTAGACTCTAGAGAGGAACTGGATTCTAACCTGTCTCTATCTTCTCTACTCAAAGAAAGCCTGACTGAAGTCAGAAGCTCTGGATGAGCTTTACCTGGAAACCTGCCTGCCTGCCCAAGGAAGCCAAACCTGAAGGTCTTAGCCTGGATTCCTCCTTCAGCTCTCAGGGGAGAGCTAGGAACCAAACCCACATCTGAGGCTCACTAGCCAGAAGCTAGACGCTGCTGCTGCTGACCTCTCTGTTACTTCCTCAATCTCTGGACCCATTCGGTTCCCCATCTCAAGGATCCGTCAGAACCTCTTCAAGGTACATTCGAAAATTACCCACTCATCAATCCATCTAACTACCTGGCTAATCAACTTCCCATATCTCAAGATATCAGTGATCCCAGACCCGGACCTGTACCAGAACCAGTCCATGTTTCTCTGTGCATCTTCCTTTAATAAACATTGTTAACTTTTCCTCTGTCTCCAGTCTGGTGTTCTGCATATGGGTTTAGCTCATTAAACCGATCATGACAAATTTATTGAATATATTTATTTTTTTAATAATAAGATATAAGATATATATAAAAAAAACAATACATACTACATTCGCATTTTATGGTACATTTATCTATTTCAAAGGAAATTATTATTAGTGGCATGAATTTTTTTCATTGGCTGCATCAAAAACTGAATCAAAATGTCTCAAAATGTCAAGAAACATGTTTTTTCTGTTATTTTCCCTGGAGTAAACGGCATGCACTGGTTCTGGTTCTGACCATAAACCAGGCGTTGAAGCTTCATTGTGTGTCTCTTTTTACAGGATATGCATAGCACTTAATTCAAATCCCCATTGAGAAGATAGTAACGCCACAAAAGATTTTATGCCTTTAAGTATTAGCAGGAATTAAGTTTCTGTTCATTGAAACTGAGCCCAGCTGCCTGTTTTCTCCATCCTCTCTTGTTAATTGCGTTCACCAACAGCACAGCTATACTTTGCCTCAGACACATGACGCTGTCCTGGCTTCTCTCTTCCTCTTGTCCCATCTTTCTCCTCCTTTAAACGCCTCCTCCACACTTCTGCAGTGTAGCCAGAAACTTAACCGGAGGTCTTTGCTGCCCACCATCGATCTGCGTGTCGTAATGATGCTTGAGAGATTGCCTGCGCCGGGGAGCTGGAGCAGGATTAAGGAAGGCATGGATTGTCATTGATTTCTATCTGATACAATCATTTCATTTGGGACCCGATCTTTTTCCTGCAACACTGCGAGCCAATCCGCAGCAGAGGTTTTAAATTCCCCCTGTTGGCCTCCACACTTTAGGAGAGCTTCATGCTACAACATGCCACTGCACTAATAGGGTTCAAACCCCCTGTTGTTCTTGAAATTCCAACTAAACCTAATAATTAAGACCAAACTCACAACTAGGAACCCAAGAGGCCTTAAATAAATAGAGGTCTGATGGAGGATCTCATCTGAACAAGCAGAGAGGTCTGTTGGATATTATAGAAAGCAACCATTTATTTGGAGATATTTATTAGTGTAGCAAATATCCCTTTTTTGCCCTTTGAGAGGCTTTTCTACGCGAAATGTCTCAAAGGTTTAAGTTCATCTAACTACAATGTTTTCATTAAATGACTATTTTTTTCCCCAAAAATAATACATGCAGAGAATGCCTCGAGTGGTGCAGAAATGTATAAATTATTTACTGAAAAATATAGTATCTTTATAATCGTTTTATAAAATTTTACTGGTCCAGAATATATTAATGCTTCTGGTTACAATGCCAGCGTCGACATGAGAAGGTTCTGCACCAATAGGAAGTGCAGGTTCAAGTCGCTTCAGAAGGAGCTCAGGCGTTTCGCGATCCTTGGATTGTTGTTCCTACTGTACTTCCTGTTCCTAACGCCTATTCCTTCAGCTTTTGCAGGGTCAACAGTAGGAACACTATCCAGGGCAGAAAAGGAGCTTCAGACTGCTGTTCCAGATGCAGGCAGCCTTAAAGACCTCACTATACAACGGACACACACATGAATGGCACTGATCAAATTGGGACTACAGCCTGCCAAAAAAGAATGACAAAAAACGAAGGTAGCAAACGACTGAAGCTCTATTATAAAACATATGAAGGTGTGTAGATTAGCATGTGTGACAAAGCATGTGTAGAAATAATGTACATTTATTGAACCCTGTAAAGTGCGTTCTCCCTGTATGTCCTGTTAAAGGACTGTGGGTAACCATATAGAACCTAGTAGCTACGGAGTCAAGGTGTCTATGTGCTCACTGCATTGGTGCTAGGAAGCAGGTGGCTTCCTGGTCCTAGCTCGTCCCTAACTGTCGGTTCTTACAAAAAACTAAGGTAATTTAGGGTGAACCTTGGTTGACTGCTGTACCTGATTCTGAGGTTTTGATTCTCGAGCAAGGAAAATAGTTTAGTTTGATCGTTAAGCCCCGCCTCTAACCTTTTCCCGTTGAGAAACGTTCCTCCCACTCTGCATACAAGTGATAAAGCGCACATATTTTAATAAAGGTAATGAAAAGATACCTCTGTAGGAAGACTTTAATGTTAGTTAAACCCATTTGCCCATGGACAAATAAAACGTTACAATAAACCAAGCATTACCTGACTCAATAACATTAACTGACTCAATAACCATAAAACAACTGTTTTCATTAATTTCAGATGGAACTATTCACATAATTGTATCATATTAAACTGCACTTACAATATTCACCACTGTTCGGTGCCATTTATGCTTTTCCTCTGAGCAAGGAGTAGCCAGCTTTGTTAGAGTCTTAATGAATCACGGGATACCCAAGGCTACGTAGGATATACCGGACCGCCGCATAACGAAGAGTCTTCCAATCCAAACAGGCTTTGGCACTGCGCTATGACATAATCAGCCGACGAATCTGGCCTTCAGAGGAAACAGCCACTGAATTTGAAAGCAGCAAGTTTAAAATGAGAGTGTTCAAGTGTAACCTGACTCCGCCAGATGGATTTGCTCTGCATATCCATCTGGAAACCTTCCGTTGAAGTAATTTTGGGAAGGGGTGAAAATACTGGTTAGCTGATTGGCCTATGTTGGGTGATAGACGGGCCAAATAAGCCAATCAGATCAACGAAGCATATGACGTAACAGAGCGACGAGCAAAAAAAGAGCAAAAACATCTTTTCCTCTGAGAAAAGCCTTCAGAGCAGTGTTTTGCTCTTCTTTCAGTGAAGAAATACTCTGTAATTCCGATAAAACTTGTTCGATAGCCACGCTAACGCTAGTTTCATCGGCTGAAGCCGCCATGTTCTTTAGACTGAACTGTCGCGCTTCTCGTTGCGTCACACCTCAACCCGCCTCAAAGCCAACGCTGATTGGACGTTCGTTTGGTGAACGGCTCCAAATTTTTTTACGGAGAGTCTCCAGACTGATTTGTGAGTGAAACCTTGAAAGCTTGTGAGATCAGGATGGTCTCACGAGGCAAGTTCAAGTGTGCCACCTACAGGCCAAGAGGAGGTGGCTCACCTTAATGTCTGGTTTTTATTAAGCCTAGGCAAAAATGTACACTAGCAGACTTAATTCAGGTTCACTTTTCATCCAATCCCAAAGCTGGTATAAATAAATATTTTCAGAATATAACCATTGTTTTTTGTAATTTTTTTCTTTTTAATTTTTTTTTAGAGAAGAAAACAACTTTGTGAGCCAAAAAAGACTCTGCTTGACACTTTCAGCCTGCGTGACAAAAATGTTGGACACCACTGGCCAAGAGGCAAAACCAGATGTTTGGCAGAAGATTAAAACATCCAGGTGGTTTTCCCAGCACTTACTTACCTCAGCAAGAACTGGGAAGCTGTTCAGATATGGTGGAAAATGGGACCTGAACCCATAGAGAAATCCTTCACCCTCTGCTGGAGGCTGCAAAAGTCTGGAGACTGGGGAGGATTTTCCCATTTCTAGCAGGACAACAACACTAAACATACAGCCAGACCTACTGCCATATTAGTTTGTAAGAATGGTCTAACCAAAGCTGAATCCAAATGAGAATCTGTGGCAAGGCTTGAAGATTTCTTTTCTTCATTGACCTTTCTTTAGCAAATAAAATAGGTGAAAATATCAGTCTCTTAATCTACAAAGCTCATAAGCTGATAGACATACTTTAACCCCCCTGACTCATAACTGCTATGCTATATATGTACAGTATACAGCTGCAGTGGAAGGCGGTTCCACAAAGTGTTGACTTTGTCAACTGAACAGAAATACTTTTTAAATTTTTATTTGTACCAAAAAACAAATGAAAAACATTGCTTTGTTTTCCCTCCTGTCGACTATTAAATGCTGCTCTGTGGTCTCTCATATAAAACCCTTCATAAGACACCATTAAACACCATTAAATTTGAAGAACCTCAAGGCATCACTGTCAGGAAATGTATTTCATCAGCTCAGTATGCAATGCAGCCTTCTCATGCATTTATTGTACAGGGATTCTTTCACACCTTAAAAATGAAATATGATCTAATATTGAATGATCTAATATGTTTTTGATCCTTTCTGTTTTTCTCCTTCTGCTGCCTGATTTAATATCCCAGAGTTCTGCACTTCTGAGATGATGAATTTCGAATGCAGGTAAGATGCTGACATAGACATGCCTTGGAAAGGGCTTGTTTCCTAGCATGCTCTTCAATTAGTCAATTTACGTAGGAAGGCCTGGATTCACCTTCAAAGCAGGGGAGCACACATCCAGGCTGTTATTGATTCGGTCCTGCTTTTCCTCTTGGCCATTGATTAAATCTCCACCGTCGTTTACAATACAGGCCAGGAGGTGGGCGAAACTGCTCGGCTATGCCGTCAGTTTTCCAGCCCTGCCACATGGAGAAATAAGGCCAGTAAAGGTGAAGTAGAGAGGATTGGGATGAGAGACATCCCCCATCCCCAGTTTCTAACTTCAGGAAGAGATTTGTTCCTTAATGAAAGTCTCACTGAGGTAAAGAGAATGGTCACGGGGATAAACGGGATTCCAGGAGACATGCTCTCATCACGGGCCTGCTTACTCTCCCAGCCACTGTAGATCACAGTGGCCTAATCAAAGTATTTGACCTCCCAGATTGATTTATTGTTATCAACTGTGAGCCAGGAAGACTTCAGAGGAGGCCTGTGTTGTAGGGAAAGGCACCTTGGGACCGAGACCCTCCATCACTTTAAACATGACAGAATCTAAAGGTACAGAGAATGAGCCTGGTGCCGGTTGGACAGGATGAGCGAGTAGCTGCGCTGGTAACAGTTTGCTATGGAATAGTGGGTCCCCAGGGTCAACACAGCTAATTGGCTTGATGAGAAAACAGGCTGCTTTAACAAGGAAAACAAACTTATTAGACTATGATTCTCTCTGTTTTATAAGGGTTCTACCAATTCGTTTGAGAGACAGCTTTTATTCCCTTCTGCTGTACAACCATTTGGTTTTTTTTTGTTTTTTTTTTCTTAAAC